CCCATCAGCAAGTATTTATAACAGAATCCTTTAGGAAATGAGAATTTCACCTTGTCTTTCAAATGCAATGAAGTTCTGATTTCAGAAATTCAAAATTGTAGCTCTTTGCTGAATCTGGTGCTCAACAGTCTTTAAGACTATTTCAGACCGAAATGATTTTAATCAAGTACACTAAGCACTGTTGTGTCCCTAAATCTTTCTTAATTAATCTGTGCATCCATATTTTTATAGCTTCTCTTATCTGCAACTTGTTTGGGATTTATTTGAGCTGAACCTTTTGTTTTCCTCCGCCGCGCACATAGTACTTCCTAGAACCTGGTGTAGAAATAACCTAAAGATGCCAAATGAGAAGGGGTGAAGGGAAGGACTCTGCATAGTTCAAGCTGTTACTTCTGTTGTTTCTGTTTAGTGAATTTTATTGCCCGTGATGTTTTTAATATTTTGGTTTGGGGAATTCTTGATTTTCATCTTACAAAATAATATTTTTATCATTGCTTCATATGATGAAGTAGGACAGGGGAAAAAAAACCACTTAATTATTCTTATGCAGAAATTGTTAAACCAGTGTGAGATGTTAAGACTATTAATTAAGGGGTTAATTTTGCCATTTTATTTTTACAAATATATATTTTTTCTGAATGTGAGTCCAAGAGTGGGCAAAAAAATAACAATTTTCTAGTTTGAACTAAGCTACAGAGGTTTTTGAAAGTGTATTACTAACTTGTTGAATCATGATATTCTGCCTCATGGCACCAAATTGTACACTTGTTTTTCTAAAATAAAGTAATTAAAAACTTAATTATGTAATTGCTATTTTTATTATGTATCTTTGAGCAGTTTGTCCTATAAAACTAAGACGAATACTTCCATAAATATTTATTCCTTTTATTAAAGTAAGTTATTACTTACTTTAGAAACAGGATTTTAGATTTCAAGCAAGCTTGGGAATGGATTGTGACTTAGCTCTTTATAGATTAAGTACCTGGCACTCATTGATCTAGCATATTTTGCTTTTGTAAAACCTAATAATAATTTTGAGTATGCATTTTTTTTCTAAAGATAGCCTCAGTCTCTCTACAGAGTTTAAGACTTGATTTTAATTTTGAATTACTAATTAGGACCTAGGTAGCTATCATTTTTGTTATCAATGAATAAAAGAATTTAAAACCTTTGGGGCTTTTTTGGGGAGGGGAGATTAAGATTTTATTTTTATAGACATGTGTATCTGTGAATAAATGCCACATAAGTGCCAGTTCCCAAGGAGGACAGAAGAGGGCATCTGATCCCCTGGAGTTAGACAGGTGGTTATGAACCTCTGGACTTGGATGATGGGAACTAAACTCACATCCTTTGCAAGAGCATTATCTGCTCTTAACCGCCAACCAATCTTTTCAGCCCTCTGTTGCAGTTATTATTTTATTTTTCATCAAGTGGAGAACACATACAAAAACACAAAACTTTATGCAATTTTTAAGTTTTAAATTTCATGTGTCAAAGAGATGTGCTTTAATGGGGTAGTAAGCACAAGAACTGAACACACAAGCATGAACCTGCACTGGTTTGCTGGCTATGGGAAGAAGCAGCATGCTGAGCTGCTTAGGAATTCCATGGGAGTATGAAGCACACCCAGGCACCAATGATCCAGACACCACCGCAGACCTTCCAGTCTTACACTTCTGGTTCCCTCACTCTTGTGAATTTGGATAAGTCACTTAACCTCCCTAGCTTCAACATTACCTGTGGTGTGAGAATAATAAACTTACCTCTAGATTGTGTGGATTAAATGGACCTATGACTGGCAGACAGCCACAGCTCATTAACATTTACTTGTCTGGTTTAATTGACTTCTCACCTCATTTAGAATTTGTGTCAATGCTGACCACAGAAAAGCCAAGTCATTAGAATGTGAAATCCTGATATGCTTGAATTTTCCTGAGTAGTTTCTTTCTTTTTTAATTTTAGCAATTTAAGTAGAGCTGAAAAAAATTCTTGTTAACATTGAAATTAAAGTTAAGTATAAATATTTAGACATCTGTGAAAAATCCCCTGGCTTTTGTGCTTTTTCTAATAAAATGAATGAACACAAGAGGGCATAACTACACAATAGGAGTATTGATCAATATGTGAATATCTTGTTTACATAAGATTTATGTATGAATCAGGCAGATTTAGATTTGAATGTCGAATACAGATGGGCAAATTATTTTCCGGTAAGCATGCCTGACAAGTCCTCAAATTTTCTCTTAAGTCCATCTCTTGCAAACTTAAGCAGTATTTAATCAAGCATTAAAAAAAGGAGCAATTATTTTCTTGTGATTTATTCTTTCAACAGATGTTCATTAAATATCTTTTTTGTACCACTAAGAAGGCTATTTCAGTAAAAATCATAGCCTCAGTCCTTTTGGAGTTTTTAAGTTATTGTAATTGGTAGTCAGATCTCAAAATGCTTGATTGGAAGGTTTTTATATTTCTGCTTTTCTTAGTTTCCCTTATGCAATTTCAAGTTCAACATAAAAGCTCATAGAAGAAGTACTGAAGATGATTCGTGACTAGGGCAAAACTGCACACATCAGCTTTCTTCTTACAAAGAAGGGGTCAGATTTACTTTGTGTATCTACACCTGTGGCAGCACCAAGGATAGAGGGAACTTGAGTGCAATTCAGGGTAAGGAAACACTAAGCAAAAGGGATATTCAGAGAAGACTGGAGGTTCAAGGGCTCCCACATTAAATGTATTTTAAACATGAGCCAGTAAACCTGGAATTTTGTTTTTCCTTTCAAACAGGTTCTGTGAATCCATCAATACATAGGTAGCCATTCTTGCTAAGTAGCACCCTTTGCAGCAAAAGGATCCAAACAGTTTTAGCTCACTGATGTGTTCAATTTTATTTGGGTGATGAAACAGTCCAGTGAACCTGAAAAATTTATAGGACAATATTTTTCCACCCTTTCGTTGTTTCATATGGAACTGCATCTTTTGTCTTCTAAGTGATTATGTTCACGTGATGATTTAGATCAGTTTTCTTCCTTCAAAGTTGTTTGATGTGCCACGTTTGCTGAACACGTTAGATGCCGTGGATAGGAATTCTCTTCCTGTGATGTCTAATATTGTCCAGTTGATGGGATCTAGAATTACCTGAGACAAGTCTCTGAACAAGTGATTGAAAGATATTCTGGATTAAGCTAATTGATCCCCATCTAACTGTAGGCAGCACTTTTCCTTGGTTTGGGATCCCTGACTGACAGAAAGGAGAGAGTGAACTGATTAGTCACTCTGTTTTTAGCTGCAGATGCTGTATGAGCAGTTGTCTCTGCCTTAGGCTACTATGACTTCTCCATCAGGATGTACTGCATCCTTGAAGTATAAACTAAAATAAGCCTTTTCTTAAGTTGTTTTGGCCATGGCGACAAGAAAAATGACTTATACACCAACTATAGGAACCCAGTCAAAAATACAGTAAATTGTTAAATGTTAATAGCTCATACAATGACCAGTAATACTTAAAATTCTGAGATTGTACGCAACATAAGCTGTGAACTGGTAAACCTGTCTTAAATTCCTTTGTCTTCCTAGTCTTCAGTTGATGATCAGGGGATCTTTATAAGCATTCTGAATTGGCAGCAGTGTGTTTGAAAATTGTGGGACTTGCCAGGTATGCTGGTGCACGCCTGTAATTCCAGTACTTGGGCGGCAAAGGCACGTGGATCTCAGAGACAGAAGCCAGCCTGGTCTGCATAGCAAATTCCAGGTCAGCTGGGGACTACAGGGAGATTCTGTCTCTAAAAGAAAAAATAGACACTGCTTTGGGGCCCGGCCCACCCTCACCTCCCTCTGCTTCCCTGGGACTGCAGGACCCACCACAGGCCTCTCCTACCTGCAGGCCTGTCTCCTGGGTAAGTCCATTGCGCCCTCTGTGCCTTGACTCCCCCAGCCTCATTCACCCTCCCATCTCCCCCACCTTTCTCTCATCCAAGTTTGGGCCATTCCCCATTCCTTGTCATGGGGCCCTAGACACCTGGGGAACCAATACTGCTTCCTGATCCTTTTCATCTAGACCAACGGAGTGCCTTCTCTGGGCCCCAGGAGCACTGCCCCTGGGACTGGCCCTGCCCTCAACTCCTGCTGCTTCCCTGGGCCTGCACCACCAGCCAGCGTCTTTCTGGGACACAGGGGCTGACCTTTCCTCTTCCTGATCCTTTGCATCCAGACCAACCCAGCTCCTCAGTGCAGTCCCCAGGAGGCCTTAGGGCCTCTTCCCACCCCATCTGCCTTTGCATCACTGGGTGGCATGGCCACCAGCTACCCTAGACCAGCATCTTTCCTACGTCAGGCTCCCAGGCCAGTCCAACCCCCAAATTCCTGAGGCCAATTTTGTTCCTGGAGGGATCCAGACCTTAGGAGAAAGCCTGAAAACATCTGACCCTCACTTGAATTGGGCCTCTGTGGGAAATCCTGAAGACAAAAGCAATCCAGCCACTCCAATATAAAATCAAAAGAACCGGAACCTTAGACGAACCAGTTTTTCATGCCCAAAAAGTAAACCACAAACTTTGACACACAAAGTTCACAAAAAGAAGCAGACCTAAACATGAAGACATGAGTCTCACACAAGAATCAGAAACTACAAAAGAAAATCATGTCAAAATCACAGAGAAAAAATAATAACATGAAAAACCAAAATAACATATCCCCACCAAATACCAATAGTCCTCTAGAGGAGTACAATGACAACCCCCTATGTTGGGGGCCTTTGTTGTGTAAAGTAGAAGTTTCTTCATGTCCGTATAGCTCACGAGCTCGGAGCCATATGTAGAGACTCCTTTCACAGCAGGGTGCTTTCCTGGCATTTTTCCTGACTCCTTTGTGAAGTGGCAGCCACTTTTGAAGTAGCCATGGCCGCTGGCTCTGGAACTGCCAGCTTTTCC